TATATATAATTATTATAATATAACGTTAATAATAGTACTATTAGCTTAACAACGATTGACAGTTGCATTGACATGTAACTGTTAAATCGTTTAGTGACTAGTAGCTTTACAGGTTTTCATCGATTTGTTAGGCCACCACTCCACTGGTTATGGTCCTTCTCCGATTAGGATGTTGTAATCCAGCGAAATATATTTTAATGTACAAATAATTTACAAGTCTTCCACCAATAAACGACGTATCTCGTGTACCGCGGAAGCGAGAATCCAAGCTTGAAATCGAGATATAGCTGTGTTTCATGCGATCGGCGTTTGCTAGGTCATCACCGTATCGGTCAGATCTTCCTTCAACCATTGTGGAATCGTTCTGGATCCTAGTCGTTTTAATAATTTTACAAGGGCCGTGTTGTGTGACAAGTAATATCTCTGAAAGAGAAAAAAAGAAAAATTAATCTTTAGTTTGAATAATTTCGCAAGAGTGCCATGTTAAGCAAAAAATAAAAAATTCGAAATTCATATGAATTTATTGTGTGATTTACTCTATTTTCTTATATATATTTTTATTACGTATATTATATTGACGTAGAAAAATGTTAAATACTTTTCATAACTAACTTGTAAAAATTTATAGGATTTATCCTCCATCGGTGGGTACTGACGTCCTTTGCTCTTTCCAAGACACTTAGTACGATCCTCATTGGTAACTTGACAAAAGAATCCTTTTTTAGGATCATACCTGAGATGCGAGGAATAATTAAATGCCGGAGTGATTTTAAGAAACCTTTGCAATTCGTGCAATGTTTCTACTGGATTTTGTCGCAATTGTTCGCCATCGATGATTTGCAATTGCTGAGGTGGATAAAACGACAACCATCTTTCTAAATGTTGAGCATACTTGCCGGGATTGAGGCATCTGTAATTAGAAATAATTTTTTATGTATATGCATAAATATTTATAATTAAAAAAATTCTTTTAAATAAGATTCTAAAATTATACCTATTTCGAAGGTCTCTTAATGGTTTTGGGGCCGTATCGCTGGCCGTAATGACCGAATGAAAGGAATAATTATTTGCTACAGGGTCACCATGAACTCTAGTATGTTGATACCAAGAATAAGCTCTTCGTGCTGGCGAAAGTAATATTGTAATGAGTTTAGCTCTTGGTAAAAGTGCATGCGCTCTTCTTGGAACCAATTCGCCATCGAAATAGGTTGCTGATTTTTCGAAAAGATATCTAGAACTTTCGTTTTTTGATGCCGGAAAGAAACTCATATACCTGAGATCAGAAAATAAAGAACATTAATATAATATTGATAATTTTTGAGATAGTAAATGAATTTAATTAAAATTTTATTTATCAACTAACCAATCTAAACCTTTATAATAATTTTTCCCATTGAAAAATTGTATTTCTTCGAACGTGTCTGGGCTGGGTAAATTACTGCTTATGGCCGGATGGATGGACAGAAAAGTATAGAGTGCAGTGGTACCAGTTTTTTGAGGACCTATGACTAAGAATCTTGGCAGTTGATCACACGTTTTGTTTCTCGACCAAATTTTTTGATGTCTTTGGTCGTCGCACGGATTCTGTAAGATTTCGAATAAAAACAATGACTCATGCGATAAGGTCAGTGATTTCAACTATAATATTGACAAAAAAAACCTATACAAATGTGTTCTGTATTTTTTTATATCCTATTTATTTTATCATCGTAAAATTATTATTTGTTTAATCATATACGTGGTTTTTTTTAAGTCTAGGTTATATTTAATATAGTATAATAGCACTATTTCTTGGTAATAAAAAATAAAGATATGGCGCAATGTTAGAAACAATTCCTCCATTTTAAATGGGAAAAATATTATGGTATATTTTATTTTTCACATTTAGCGCATAAAGTAACAATTTCAAACTTAATCTGTTTTTTCCTATTTTCGTTTTATTGTCAATGGAATCTGAAAATTTTACAACGATAACGTACTTTGAGTAAAAAAAAAGTAGGAATTCTGAATAGAATATTTTTTCATAAAGTTAACTATTAAAAAAGAATTTTTCAACTTACACCCCACACAGGATCGGCTTCTTCGGGATAAAGTTGAAAATAATGTTCACCGAGTTTAAGCGGCGGTGCACTCGACAATCTCAAATTTGTCCAACATTGAATAAACTTGATTACGGATTCGAAGGTATACAGTGCCAAACGATCGTTTCCATAATTGGACATGTGTGTCATAAAAATATTTATCTGGAAAAAAGTGAAAGATCGCAATTAACGATTGGACGATTAATCAATGAGTATGTTCAAAGTTGTGTAGTTACTATGGAAGAGTGGTGGAAGGAGGAGGAGGAGGAGAAGGGGTTGCACGGAGGTAGAGTTTACGCTTCGCTTACAGGATTATAAACGATCGTTTGAAAGAGTTCGCCGCCCTGTATCGATTCGTCCAACTTATCCCTTCCGCCTGGGTACCTTTCTATAAAGATGGTGTGAGTGAAAAGGCCGCACGTCTGTCTGGGTAGTACCTTGTAAGAAATGAAAAGTAAGATTCTAGTGAATTTATTCGTAATTTAAATAAAAATTATATTTATATATAAAAGAAGAAAGAAAAAGACGGTAGAATAATTAATTTGAACGATGGTTAATTAATCTAATTCTTTCCTTCCAATTGTGCTGGTAATTATAACGATGTAGAAAAAAGGTAGAAAAAATCTATTTCATATATTATATATATATATTTTATAATATAAATAATTGCTGTGTAGCAAATTAATAATAAAATGACTTTTTGTGTGTGTCTACTTTCGTATGATAATTAGCGTGAAATTTTAATGGTTGAATTTAAGAATTAAGAAATGAATTTTGAACGATGTTTATAATATGTGCTAACGTCCTCATTTATAAGTACTCGTTCTTCTTGAAAAATATCAAAGAGTTATTAATAAGTGATGACTGAGTAACTATAATATAAAGTGTCGTGTGAAAGTGACGAATATAGGAATATCGATCTGACAATTTAATAGGTCAGACTCGTGTACATTGGCCCAGACCTAGATATTCACGTCTTGTCGTCTTCGTCTTAATCGTATAGGTATTTCTAAGTATATAAACAAATCCTTTACACTTACCATGATGTTACGATGAATGAAACCGCGTCTTAAACGTGCTGGCCTTAAATGGGGGTATTCTTCCGTGCTAGTGACCTTGATGTTCCAAACTCTTTTCCAAGCCTCGTAGAGGCCTTCGTGGACCGGATAAACGCCTGAATGATGAGGACTTACGCTGTATCCGTTTACCGTTGGTATTCCGTGGTCCTTTGCGAATTGTTTGTTCAGTGCCATGTCCAATTGTAGATGGGTCACATTCTCGTAAAGATGGGGTTGTTGATGGTTCCACATGTGGGAAAACCACGTAAATCTACGAATTAGATTAACAAGGTAAAATATAATACACGTAATAACCTTCGCATATATAATTATGAAATTCAACTAATTCTACTAGCAAAATTTAACTGTGAAAGGATAAACCACGACAGATGATAATATAATATTTGATTAAAATAGTTGTTCACCTGTCGACGTTCTCTAGAAGCATATCGTCCCCCAAATTTTCCTCTGCTATCCCGTGATGAAAATACTTCCCGGAAAACCCCAAGTTGAATTTGAACCCCGGAACCAGTGCTTGAATCTTTTGTTGCGTCGCTAGCAAAGCCATCACGTCGTCCCTCTTCAATCTCGTACCTTTCTCACCGACAAATATGTCGTCTACGTCAACAAGAATCATACGATTCAAGCTTAGACTCAGTTGACCGTGCGACAGGTACGAGAGCGAATCGAGGAGTAACAACTTGTGCAACCAAAATCTTAGACCACCACCGAACAGGACTCTTTGAATGCCGTCGTATCTTCCATGATCCTGTTGAAACAAATGTGATTTGTAATAAGACTAATCTATGAATGATAAATCCGACACTTGAACACTGTTGTTTCAATGGATTCGCTTAAATGATAATGTTAACATCGATGCCGAAGAGGATCGAACGTAATCGCAAGCACGTGAGCTGTTAATTGTGTTGTTCGATGGTAATTCTCTCTCTCTCTCTCTCTCTCTCTCTCTCTCTCTCTCTCTCTCTCTCACTCTCACTCTCTCCCTATCTTCTTCCTCGCAGTGTATGGAATTTGCTATGAACCGAGCTTGTTAGCAGTAAACAACAATAATAATCTCACTGATAAACCCCATTACCGAAAAGGGTGGATTGCAGAAGAGGAACAGAGAGGGTAAAGTATCGCAGGTAGTCAGTTAATTAAATCAGGAGCCAATCAGCCGTTGGTTCATTCGATTAATGAGCAACGCCGTGGTTCACTTGTTTCGTACCAAGCACTGGGAGAAGCCACCAATTTATTTTGTTCGTTGATCAGCTTTACTCCTGCTTCTCTTTCTTTCTTTCTTTCTCTCTCTCTCTCTCTCTCTCTCTCTCTCTCTCTCTCTCTCTCTCTCTCTCTCTCTTTATTCCTAACAAAGCTTTATCCTCTTTTCGTGTACGTAATACCTACACACATATACCGTTATATATAAATGTAGAGAAAGAATGAGAAGAGAAGGTGCACAAAGCATAGTAGCACTGTATTCTCCTCCGAGGCACCGAAATCACAACGACGACGTCCATAAATCAATGTTAACGTTTGACGTTTACGTAGTTAGCCGAGCGCGAGCCACTGTGGATCGGTTTCTCTTATCAAATGCGACGACGCTAACGTTTCCTCCAACTTATCACGGAGGAAGAAATTCATCTGGGAATACGGAAATAAGTTTATCTTCCTTCCACCCAACTTCTCCGTCCGCAGATTTTTACATACAATTGATATGAACTTGTATAATACGTGTGTATACGTGTGTGTGTAAATGTGTGTAACATGTATATTAGAAATAGTGTATGAAGTATACGGAGAAAGAGAAAGAGAGAACAAAAATACTAGACAAAAGAAATGAGACTATCGAGCGTATGTAATATTCATATATAATACATGAAATGTCATAGTAGAACGTTTTCAGAGACGTTTCTACATATGTATGCACCAAATGTATATATTCTAGCTATAAAAATAAATGTCACTTTGTACCGTTTTATTTCACTGTCTATTGAAATCATATATAACGCGTATTACCATCCACCATAAACTTATCTACGCGCATAATTTCACTATAAATTTTCTTTCCTACGACTTTGTAACTTTCCTTCTCTATCCGACTCAACATTTGTATTGGATCGTTCGCTTGCTCGCTCGCTCGCGAACCAAGAAAAGACGTAATCAAATTTACAACATTGATTTAATACCACCGTGTTACAGAAGTTGTCGATAAATTCCATCCCGATTTCGATAATCCGATTGATTTTTAATATTCAGCAAGTTTCTATCGAAGGAGGTAAAAAATAAATGATAAAAAAAGAGTGAGAAAGAAATATCGTAGGGCAAAAAGAGATAAATAATTCAAAGTGTCGCAAAAGTTTTTTCCTCCGAGTTCCGTGAAATCACTACCCAGCCATTTTTGCATAGTACGACGACGTAGAAAAAGAACATCCCCCTCGAGCGTTGTAGGTTCGCATCAACCCCTGGAGAAAGCAAAACGAATCTTTCTTCTTCTTTTCTCTCTCTCTCTCTTTTTCTCTTTCATCCCAACCCCTCTGTTGCTTCAAGGAATCTCGTAATCCAAAATTCCTGAAGCGATCGTAAACGCCAAGTAATAGAGCTTTACGAATTGTTTCGAGCCCCTTCGTGGTACCACACGGTTTACTCGTATGGTGGTGCTGTGCTCACGTTTCTCTTCCTTTCCATGAAAATTCCTCATTTGTTTTCTTCTCTTCCCTTCCCACCTCTCTTAACGGTATCTACCCAAGCTCCCAACCCACTCTCTTTTACGTCTCGAGAAAATAAAAATTGCGAGAAGTCCGAGAAAAGTTACCTCACCAAAAAAGTATCTTACTAACAAACTGCATTCTTTCTCTATTTGATTACTTTGTCTCGAGCTGAATTACTTTATCTCAATATTCTCGATTCTCAACGTCACCATTATCAACGTTATCGGATTTTCTAGTAGCAAGACAGCTACGAGCTACGAGTTATTCGTCTTCTCCTTGTATCAAATGAACATTTTATTCTATTTATGGTTGATATTTATTGGATCTAATATTATGAATAAAATATCAGCACGTACGTTTTATCAAATTCTACATCGATTATAAATATTGACTAAATAAATATAAGTTTCTATCTATCATATTTCTCGAATATAAAATCCTAAAATGTGTGTTCGGATAAGTGATGAACGTAATATATTTCTCCGCTCTGAATTAGATTTACTAAGAAATAAATGTTTCAGCAAAAGAAACTGCTAATAAGAATAAGACGTTCAATTTATTTTTCTTTAAATGACACGAACTCTCTCTCTCTCGTAGGAGAATATTTTTATTTCTGGATAAGAAAAATAGATGAGACACGAAGGAAATGAAAACATCGATTTTCTATCGTTGTCTGATAAAAAAAGACGAAAAAAAAACTTGGAATTATGTAACGAGCGATTAATTACAGTAAAATAAAGAGTTCGATAGTCACGTAAGCTTCGATACAAATGAATGGTAATGCTTGGAATTGCGAACAGAACTAGCATTAATTCGGTAACTGTCGTTGCTAGAAGAAAAAGAGTTAGACGTGACACGAAAGTCCAATAAGGATCGTCTCACCTGAATGACAGTGGCCAGAGGGCTTTTGTTGGTTGGATAGTCGAGGCTGTCCCTGTGTGCCCAGGCCAACGGCTCGTAGGTACTGTGATTGGCCTGAAAAATGGTCCAGTCACCACCAGGAAGTGGTCCCCAGGCTGTTTCTCCGGATCTGGTTAATCGTAGAATAGGAGATGCCGCGTTCAACTGGGCGTCCTGTGTTAGAATGAAAAACTGATTTCATTTCGTTTCGTTTCACAGTTAAACCAATTCATTTCTTTTAACATTTTTTGTCTTTTCTTTTGTTTGTTTCTCGTGTGTTCAATGAGATTTGATTACAATTCTGTTACGTAAAAGGATAAGTCACGAGTAGATGATAGGAACGGAAATATGAGGAATAAAGGTATTTAAACTCTGAGTTAAATTAGTTGGTCGAATAAATCCCTGATACAATAACGTTTACGATTCGAGGTATTATGAGCCCCGTAAATGCGAAGAGAAAGAGAGAGAGAGAGAGAGAGAGAGAGAGAGAGAGAAAAAGGGAAAATAAAAAAGTTTCATAATGAGAAGAACTTAATGCAGGTATGTAGGTATCCTAGCCTTTATTATACTTTCGAGCGCGGTGATGCGAATTAAAGAGGAACGTAATAATACCTAAATGCATCTATATATATATATATAGCATAAATAGTATATATGCGTAATTAATTATCGCGTTTTTCGTTTAATCGCAAACGACCATCTATGTGGTTGCGTTAGAATTTTTCTTTTCCTTTCTTTTTTATTATTTTAATTCTTTATCATTATTCTTAACACTCTTTCGCTGTTAAATTATAAACAAATTTTCTTATCAATAGTTAAACAAATGTTAATGCGTATATGAAAAAGTTCGCTTTTTTAATCCTTCTCTAAGTTTTTTCTTCTTTCTTTGTTTAACATCCTTTCCCCATTAAACGATAAACAAGTTCTTTAAATCGATAATTAATCAATTGAATGCGTATATGAAAAATATGAGAAGAAAAGGTCTTCCTTTTTTTTCTTTTCGTATCTTTTTTTTTTTTATTACTTATTTTTTTTTTTATTCGTTGTAATAGCGATATAAATTTGTAAAAGGTAACGATAAAGTGGATATCGCTTGGAGATTATTACCGTTGACGGTGCTACGGGATGCATGCAAATTTATTCGTCGCAGTAACGTTCTTTTCCCACGAATCGCTTAACACTATTTTTCTTATTGCCACGTGAACGTATTATGCTTTGGTGGTTGTACAGTAGTAGTAGTAGTAAGTAGAAAGAGGATAGGTACTGCGAGTCGGTTAGAAGGTAACAACGTCTTTTATTATTCTACTTTACGAGAATTTCTCTTCGTTCTCACTCTTACTCTTATTTCGTATACCCTTGCTCTTACTCTTGCTCACAGTGCAGTCTCATAAGTTTTCTACGAAATAAAGTCGGTCGTTTCGTCACGACACGACGAGATTGCCACTTAAAGTTTTCTGTGATCGGAGTTTCCAGCCCTCGTGGCGTGATCTCTATTTTTTTCTTTTTTCACCTTCTTCTTCTTCGTCTTCTTCTACTTCAACTTCCACCCTTCTTTTTCTTCTCCTTCAATTTGTTTTTCATCTTCATTTTCATATTTAGACATTGAGGCTTAATCTTATCGTCGTGTACAAAATGTATTTAGGAAAATAGAAGAAATTTTGTTAATGTCTCACTTGGGGTTCTCGTTTTATTTTTGAGAATTTTTGGAAAATTGTTTGTCCCGAGTTTTAAATGGGAAATTATAGGAGAAATTGAATACTATGGAAACTAACCTTTAGTCGAAGATTCGTATGTATGAAGAGAGGAAAACCCTTGAGTTGGGCACCAACGAGACTCTCTTCTCCAGGAGGAGCAAAGCCTACGATTCCAACAGAGTATTCTCTACAATACTTGTCCAATAGTTCTCGATTCCACTTGTCCATTTGCAGGTACTTGTTCAGGTTCTCGAATATTAGAACGCCGTAACGACCCTTGTCGAGATTCGTCAATACCGGCAGGGACTTGCCGGCCACCTCTACTTTGTACCTGTAATCACACAATTATTTAAATTCTAGTCAAACGAGTACATGTAATCAACGTTTACTAGAGTCGTTTTAAATAATATTTCTCGACACTCTAATGTCAAGGAACATAATTCATTAATACAATAAAGTTTGCATTAGAATTAAATAACAATTTATTTTTAATAATTAAAAGGTTATTTTTATCTGAAAACTTTTCTTGCATTTTTTTTACAATTTGCGGGTTAAAACAAAATAACTAAATTTTCCGGATTTATTTTTGCTCTATTAGAGTGAGTTTGAATTGCAAAAAAGAAAGAAATAAATATTTCTTATCATATAACTTTTTAAAAATTACAAATGCTAGTTTTTGTCCACAAAATTTTGTTATAATTTTTATAGTTGTATACTGTATACAAGTTTATATTGTATACAACACAATCAAAAGATATCCAAATATTCAATGATTATTTAAATCCCTTTAGAATGAATTTTGCCGGTAAAAAAATTGTCCAAAACATATTTACCTATTTGTTTTCTAAATATTAGTAATATTTTCTAAATAATTGCATTTTTGGTGATCCCTTCTTTATAAATACCTAAATTTTTCACTGATTTCTTTTGCTATAGGAAATTCAAACGAAACGACTGAACCGGTGCAGGTAGTTAACTCGCTTTTTCGTTAGAAATAAATTTCCCTGGCTTCCGTGCCAAACGATACTTTATTCCCAACCCTTCTTCCTACTTTTCATCTACCTCACTTCCCCATATCACCAACTCCCCACCCCTACCGCCGCACCTTATAAATACATAAACACAAATATTTGTATGTGTGGATATCGCAATGGCCATTCGCTGATACGCGGTTTGAAAATTTCACTTCCTTTACCTACCGGATGTTTAAAACGACTCTGGTAATAAATACAAGAAAAATCGAATATCGATAGAGAATGCGGGGAACCAAGAACGAGATACTGCCGCTTATTGTTAAACGATAAAGCAACGTTGCTGCATCGAAATCGCATTTTATACAGAGAGGATGGGGATTGAGATAGTTAAAAAGTAACTTTCGAGAAAAGAAAATGTGATTACAATCCTTAAAATTGTTCGTTACGAAAAGAAATATATTTTCCTTTCTGCATTCTTTATCGTGATAACGGAATAAAAAAAAAAGATAAAGAAACTAAATTAGTTATGGTACTATCGAACAACTATCGTCATCGAATTTTTGATGTGTTTTGAAAGTTGTCCAAAAACAACAAAAATATAGAGGAGAGAAATAGGTTATGTAGTTCTAACGTTCCGATACATGACACCATCTTTACCCTTACACATCGAGGATAAAATCATTTTATCGTATGAATAAGCTCGATACGATGGATTTCTCTCGTATATACCGTTACAGCCTGTCGTAAATAGAGACATTTCGATTTCTAATTTATTGGAAATTCAGATGGTTCGTATTCGTGGTGGTAGAAGTGAAGATGGTCAAAATAGCGGTGATTGAAACGGGGTGGGGGAAGTTTTAGAAAAAAAAACGAGAGAAGAGAAAAGAAGAAAAGTAGTAAAAAATTCAAATGATTCATATGGTGGTTGTAGCGAAGGTGATGAAGATGATGCTTAGAAATATGGAGGTGGGGGAAGTTTGAGGAAGAACGGAAAAGGAGAAGAGGAGCTTTGCTTTTGGTAGAAAGAAGAAGATAAAATATTACTTCCTTATCGGGGACGATAAGCTTCGCGAATTTCAGTTCCTCTCATAGTTCTTTTTATTTTAACGACTGTGCTTCGAAAAGCGCCATTAAATCCATCCCCCTTGTCTTCTTTTTCTTCTCTTTATACGGATCGCGATGATGAGGATGAGAAGGAGATGAGGGAGGAGGAGGGGGAGGAAGAAGAGGAAGAAGAAGAAGAAGAAGAAGAAGAAGAAGAAGAAGAAGAGAATGCTCATTTAAATCTGTGCATATTATCGTGCTTTATTCGCGACAATAAATGCAACATCAACGAAACCTCAGGAAAAATCGTAGACCTCTGCATCTCATTTCTGAAACGATATCGTTTTTCGTATGACGAGTTATATGTATTTATAAAAAGAAAGAGAGAGAGCGAGAGAGAGAGTGAGTGGCCGCAACGATAGTGTGAGATAAAAATTAATATCTTCGGATAAAACGCGAATAGATTTTCCTCCTGTTATGTAATATTGCTCGTATAAAAAATGAAAAAAAATATAAGGGGAAAAAGGAAAATAAAGAAAAAAAGGGAAGGGGGAAGGGTAAATTGGTGGTTTTGCTAAACGACATTTTACTTCTATTCGCCATCATCGACGACAATTTCTTTCGAATCGAATCAGGTTATGAGTTCTAAAATTCCAATTGCCGATCTTTTATAGCTTCTAATATTTACTTCTTGGTTTTTAACTTTTTCCACTTCCTTTTTTCTTGATTACGTGTGTGTGTATGTGTGCGTCGAGAATTTCTTCGATCGTTTTCTTTCTCCTGGGAGTTCATAAATTTAACTTTTCTCGCAGAATTTAATGCACGTTCGTATCGAACACGGTGATTCTTTCAATTGGTACTTAATGAGCCGTGCAATTATTTTACGACGCACGATTGATATAGCAAAACTAGTGCTGGTAATGTAAAATAAAAAAATCATCTTAGCAAAGTTATCAGTGCTCGTAAATTTTAAAAATGAACGTGCCAATTCCACACGGTACTTCAACGAGTTCGAGGATTCGCTCGTCGATTAAATTATCTCGCGAGAAATACATGTTGAGATTTGGAAAATCGATCGGTTAAAAACAAAAGTTTTTTTCTTTTGTCAGTCGAGTGTTTTAAAAATGAATATTTGTTCCTTAGCAAAGAGAAAGCAACTTGTCTTGCATGCTTCGAAATGAATGTCGATTTTTCAAAATTTTTAATTAGTAATTTGAATAAGTTAAACAGTATTTTAAATAAATTTAACAAATTTATTATAAAATATTATTGTATAACGTGTGTCAACAGCCTAGCCACGTTGGATTATTAGTTCTTGTCAGAATATTAAAATCAAGCAATGTGGGCACGATTAATAAAATGGATTGATGACTTGTTCGAAAAAAGCAAAACCGTGTGTTGTTGATTCCAGATAAACGAAAAAACAGATGTGACCTCTTTTGTAGTATTAGTTATGTGGATAGGTGTGAGAAGGTGTTCGTAGAGAGGTGACTCAAACCCGTAAAAAGGAGAGTAAAAGACAACAATAAAATATTATATAATAACATAAACACGAATAAACAATACTGTACTTAAAAAATGTGATTTAATACAGAATAATGTGAATGTTACATTATATTTAATATTAATTATTAAAAATACTGACGAGCAAAAAATGAAATTATTTCGAAATTTCCTACGTTTCGTAATTTTTTTCCCCTTAATTTTTATTCCTTCAAGGAATAAATTGTTTATACGCTTATAAAGTCGTATAAAGCTTAAAAGCGATGTTTGTCCGTTGTTGTAATGACTTCATAACGACACGAACCGTTATTGGATTTTCTGTAATTTGCTTTATTTTCGCGTTAATGGCCCTCCAACGAGGAGTAGCATGCATCCGAGCGTGGTTTACGGCGAAGTAGTGTCTTCCACGTTGTTGCAGTACTAACCTACCAACCTACCAACCTACCTACCTACCAACCTACCTACCTACCTACCTACCTACCTAGCTACCTACTTACCTACCTACCTACCTACCTACCTATCTACCTACCTACCTACTTACCTATCTACCTACCTACCTATCTACCTATCTACCTACCTACCAACTATGTACCTTCACCGACTGGCACAACAAACCAGGACAGAAAATTGTAGTTGTAACTGATGAAGTAATCGATTCGATAATTGGTAACCACCCATTAACGAAGAGTCGGCAATTTACGTAGCTAACGAACTGTCATAACGAACTACCGTGTTGCTTCTTTTATTTCCTGCTAACAATTGCCCGAATCGTTTCGTATATACGTGTGCATGAGCGCGCGCGCGTGTGTGTGTGTGTGTGCAACACTCTTATTCGTTTTTTCGTTTACCTATTATCTCACAGACGATAACTAAAAAGATATCGTATAATCTTGATTGTGCAATCAATTCTATATCGAGTAGTAATATAAAATGTTATATATCGAGGATTATGATTGGATTAAATTAAATCGACTATACGATAAAATTTACATCGATCTAAACAAATCAGCGAAATGTTAGCTTTCCCATTAAGTTTTTTCTTTTCTTTTTTTCTTTTTTTTTTTTTTAATATGTAGGTAGTAAGAAGAAACAACGATTGAAACAAAAAAAAAGCAGGAGTATCGATTAATCGTTTATTATCGTTGAGATTTATTGGACGGGAAGGTTATTACTTGGATCGTTCGACAAGGTCAAACGGAAGCTCATACCACGCTCGAATAATCTCGAATGAAAGTTAGATTGAGGAATAATTCTTAAAGGAGCATCAACGAGAGAAAAAGAAACTTTGTAAACACAAGTTTAATGAACTTAGAAGCCACGCTTAGACCCGTCCAACCAATGGAAATATTATTACGAAAGAAGAAGAAGAAAAAGAGAGAGACAGAGAGAGAGAGAGAGAGAGAAAGAGAGAGAGAGAGAGAGAGAGAGAGAGAGAGAGAGAGAGAGAGAAATGGTGCATCGGCAACGGCATCTTTTCCAGCCGTTTTTCTTATCCCTACTAATCCGCTTGTCCTCGTTTTAATGATTAAATGTTTCGAGAAAT